TGATGGAAACCCGGCCGCCTTAAATAGGCGCCCTTGGGTAAAACCCTATCAACCGGGCGTTGTGGTTGGTTGGCGACCGTCCGATCCGTAGGTAGGGTTGACGACCAATGGCCAAGCAGATCGAACGGCGCTCAATTCGTACTTGGTGACAATAGCTCATCGTCTAAGTTTGTGAGATAGCGGGAACTTTATGTTTCTCAATGGCAGTTCCGCCGTTCTAGAGATACAGCCGCTCCGTACGCTTAACGGGACACCTGTATATATATGCAAGAAAAGCAAGATAAGAAGTTATATTTATTTGTTTATTATTTTAATATTACTGACAAACGTCAAAGTCTGATTTACGTTGTTTGATGCTTGTGAAACTTTTTGAAAAAGTTATATGGACGGACGAATCTAAGTTTTCGTGCGAAGGTATTTTTAACAGGCGTAACAACCATATTTGGGCTTCCGTCAACCCGCACGCAATCCGTGACTATCAGGTTAGGTATAGTTTCAACATTTTCTGCCTTATGATGGATGGTAGGTTCTCTCACGTCATTTATAACGGCGTTTTAATGGCAGAGCGTTAGCTGATTTTATTACGTATTGTGATAGAAGATTTTCTGCAAAAAAAACATTTGTAGCCCATTTAAAATAACAATGTTAGTTGTCATAGCAACGCAATAAAAAACAATACAAACAAGCAAATATCGCCAAAAAAATGCGCCACGATTAATAAAGAAACTTGTATTTGAAACATTTTTCTTTAAAACCACAAATGGCGAAGTTATTGGCTATATTCCAGACATTTGACACAACCTGTATAAGTACGAATATACAGTGACCGCCAAAACGTCAGCAACACCCGTTTTATTTCTATTCCAATGCATCAACGTTTTCCAATTTCAATGTTTTTTGTTTGCATTCCGATCTTTCGATCTAAAGTATTTTCAACATGGCTGCCACTTCCGGTTTACCGGAAGTAGACCAGAACCTCGTTATTTTAAATGGAATGCTACAGCTTTTATTACACCTTTTAATTGTTTTTTAATAGCCAACATATTTTTTTATGTACATTTAAAAAGTGTAATAAAAACTGTAGAATTCCATTTAAAATAACGAAGTTATGGTCTACTTCCGGTAGACCAGAAGTGACAGCAATCTTGAAAATGTTTTAGATCGAAACTTCCGAATGAACCACCTATGCTACTAAAATTTGAAACCTTTCAAATCTCTACGAATAGTGGAACCTTAAAAGGTTATAACGAATCAGTTACGTGAGACACCCTGTATCTATTATAGTATTATAGTATATAAGTATATATTACTTATTGTTAGGGTACATGAAATAAATGTACCATGTTTTCGGAGTTACATTAGCTTAAACATCCAACCCAACCCACAACAAAACCTTTGTTTCGCTTTTATTTTCAAATATTCGTTTCAAAATCCTAAATTTTGTTTTACCACTGTTTATAGATGAAATAAATCCTAGCTAACCATTAAGGAGATATTATAATGGTATTAAACATTTTCAACTTCATTTAGTTATAATTAGATTTTTGGCCAGATATTCATATTCCTAACCAAATGGGGTTGTAAGCTGTTCTTGAGGATTAGAGTGTTCCGTATGTGAAATTTGCTGACCCAAATCGTATTGGTTATGGAATTATGAATGATTTAAGTTTATGGCTGGGATTTATGGATAACTTCACACCAGGGTTTGGCACTACTTTGAATTTGACATTTAGTCAATCTTGACATTTATGACATTTGTCAATACTAGCAACTTAATATTCATATAGATTTATTTTTATCATAAAACATTTTTTCAATCACTTTTTCGGAATCTTTTTGGAACGTTTAATATGTTAGTTTTTAATTTAATAGGTTCCAGGTCTTGAAGGAATTCATCATCGCACAAATTTTTTAGTTGGAAGTATAAAATCTCAATGGAATAAAATCAAATCGTGGATTTTAGTAGATACGGAAACGTTTCCGGAAAAAAATCATCGATTCACTGCCGTTTACAGTCGTGATAGAGAATATTTGTAATATTATCTCTACGAAATCAATCAAAATTTAAGTTTCGTTTTTTAGATTTGATGTTGATTCTCCGTGTTTTTTTACACCCGCCGTTCATTCTCGAGTTATCCAATTTATCCTCGATCGCAAAAGATTTACGAATAAAGAAGATGATGATTTTGCTTTTGGAATTGAACGATTATTAACTGATAAGATTTATACGGCTGCTTATCCACTTCATGATGTACGAATATTAAAAATTATTTGCTTGTATAATTTTAAAATAATTTATTTGAAGGGTGATTTAAATGATCGTGGTACAATGAGACATCTTTTATACGAAGAGTGGACATCTCTTAGAAAATGGTACAAATATCAACCTTTAGATTATGTGAAAGAATATTTTGGTGTTAAAATAGCTCTCTATTTTGCTTGGTTGGGATTTTACACTCATATGTTGTTGCCAGCTTCAATTGTGGGCTTAGCTTGTTTTATTTATTCCTGGTTAACTCTTTATAGTCACCAACCAAGGTTTGTTATTATTTTGTAGTTGCCATTAGTGATGGGCACTATCGAATGAATCTGACTATCGAATAAATAGTAAATGAATGATTCGAACTATCGAATGATTTATTCGAATAAATTCATTCATTCGAATTCGGTGAGGATTGAGGATATCCAATAATGCGCAATATAGGTTAGGTATACCGGGTTTATACAGAATTTAGCTGTAAATTTAAAATTTTAAGATTTAGTTTTAAAAGTTAAATCTAATGAAACTGTTATATCTTAACAGCTTTGCATACACAATATATGAAGTTTCAATACGCTTAACTTTTAAAGTTAAATTCTTAAATTTAATTTATCTATATCNCGAATGATTTATTCGAATAAATTCATTCATTCGAATTCGGCGAGGATTGAGGATATCCAATAATGCGCAATATAGGTTAGGTATACCGGGTTTATACAGAATTTAGCTGTAAATTTAAAATTTTAAGATTTAGTTTTAAAAGTTAAATCTAATGAAACTGTTATATCTTAACAGCTTTGCATACACAATATATGAAGTTTCAATACGCTTAACTTTTAAAGTTAAATTCTTAAATTTAATTTAGTTATATCCTCTCTAGAAACCCGGCATAACAAGTGCTCTCCCCACTGCTTGACTTTTAATAGACAAAAATCGGGGAATTACCGAAACCTTGGATTGTAATTCTCGCGTGTGAATATCGTGTGTGGACTCGTTCTTTGTTATTGTAGTGAAGTTATACTATTTGTTTTATAAAAATGGCTTCTAGTAAGAAACGGTCAGCTGTATGGGATTATTTTAAAAAAGATTCAGTTAGTGCAGTAACTTGACGAAATTTGTAAAAAACAATTCAAATTTAGTGGTAACACATTAAACATCCGCGACCATTTAAGGCGCAAACACCCTGGGTATTTTGAAATAGATAAATTAAATAAATAAGATGAATTCCAACAATTCGGAGATCGACATAATAATAAGCCGTCAACATCAACTCAAGATCAGCAACTGCCATCCACATTAATGCAGTCTCAACTTCAAGAACAAAGCAGTAAATCCACATCTACAATAGACTCCATTAATTGCAAAAAACGAAGTCGACAAATGAAACTGTGTGTTNAAGCTCATCGGCATCTGTGAAGATTGATGGAGGAGGGGGTGTTCTTATCGGTGTGAGAGATAATTTTCAGGCATCTCTGGTCCCTGAATTGTGCTCGGAGACTGAAGATTTGTGGGTGGATGTTAAGTGCGCGATTGGTCGTTTTCTCGTGTGCTGTGTATATCTGCCTCCTGGTGAAATTGATCCCCTAGTTATGTTTTTACAAAAATTGGCCTCATTACGAGACTCCATCTCTGAGTCAACTACTATTGTAATTACCGGCGATTTTAACTTACCCTCAATCTCGTGGCGGCAGGCTGAATCTGGAATTCTTGAGCCGTTTGGTGGTGTCGATCCGCGCTCTCGGCAATTTTTAGAAACTTTTGTTTATTGTAATTTAATTCAATTCGACAACGTACTTAACGATAATTTGAGAATTCTTCACTTGGTCTTATGTAGCAGTGATTCTGTGCGTGAAGTTGTATCTTGCCGAGATCCACTTGTTGATGCGGATCGGCACCACCCGGCGGTCGAATTTTCTGTCGTTAATGTTCGATTAAATGTTATTCAGGATGGTCCTACTGTTAAATATTTTTACAAAAAAGCTGATTATGTAACGCTTAATAATGCCCTTTGCGCGGTGGATTGGTCGGAGCGCTTTGCTGGGTTACGGGTTGAGGGTGTTGTTGATGCTTTTTATAATATTGTCTGCGACCTTGTCAACACTCATGTCCCGAACCGTTCGGTGTCGAGGCGCCGTTTTCCTTTGTGGTATTCTGCGTCCACGGTGAGAGTCGTCCGTGAAAAGCTTAAGTTTCATCGTAAGTGGAAAAAATAAAGCGTTCCAAAATGTTGATTAAATCGGATTTTGACAATTTCTTGCAGTCAATGCAGGCTGGCATGGTGGAATGCCCAGATCGGTTGTGGTCTTTTGTAAAAAACAGAAGAGGTGGATGCGCGGGTATCCCTACCGTAATGAAACTTGGTAACGATTTTGCAGATAATGTACAAGATATTTGTTCCCTTTTCGCACGTCAGTTCGGTGCGGCTTTCATTCGCAGTAATATTTCTAATTTCTCTAATGTTGGTTCTGAGGGTGTACGGCCGTGATTTGGTAAAGAGGACGTATTCTTAATCGTCTCTCTTTCTTTGGAAACTGACTCTTTCCCAGTTCAGTGGAAGAGGGGGTTTGTGCTGCCGATTTTTAAATCTGACGACCTATATCTATTTTGTCATTGATATCCAAGGTATTTGAAAGAATCGTATATTCCCAACTATTTAACTTTTTGGAACCCTATCTGATCACGGAACAACACGGCTTTTTTCCCGGAAGATCGGTTGAAACTAATTTAATTTCTTATACTAATTACATTCATAACTCTCTTAATTGTTCTAATCAGGTAGATGCAATCTATACTGATTTTAGCAAAGCCTTTGACAAGATTAATCACAACATTTTAATGCATAAGTTAAGCCGATTTAATGTTCCGCAAGGACTCTTGTCGTGGTTGGGATCGTACGTCGCGGGTCGGTGCCAGGCCGTGAGAGTTGGTAGTGTGACCTCTTCTTTCGGTGCAGCTTCCTCGGGTGTTCCCCAGGGCTTT